TATTTTGTGAATGGTTTTTAAACAACTACGGTGAACTTCATAATATCACCTTTTTTTCTGATGAAGCCTGGTTTCATTTAAGTGGTTACGTAAACTCACAGAATATGAGAATGTGGTCTTCTGAAAAACCAGATAACTTTTTTGTCGAGGGCCCTCTACACGCTCAAAAAATTGGAGTTTGGTGTGCTCTCAATCGAAGGAGGATTTATGGACCTATTTTTTTTAATGGTACTCTTACTGCGCAAAGGTATAGAGAAGAAATTATCGCTCCTTTTGTTAACCAGCTGGAAGAAAACGAAATTACAAACTTTTACTTTCAACAAGATGGCGCAAGGGCACATACGGCAGGCGAGACGATGAATATGTTGAGGGAAGTTTTCCAAAATCGACTAATAAGTCTCAATGCTGAACATGAATTTCCACCGAGGTCATGTGATATTACGCCGTGTGATTTCTTTTTGTGGCCTTACCTTAAAAACACTATTTTTGAACTGCCTATTCCTGATTTAAACCATCTGCAGGCTCGACTTATAGACAAGATTCGTGAAATTAACAATACCCCGAGCATCTTAGAAAATGTCTTTAATTCTTTGAGGAACAGGTGTGAAAAGTGCTTGGAACAAGGAGGGGGACACTTTCAGCAGCTGCTTTAATTTATTGTTATAACAAGGAGGGGGACACTTTCCGCAGCTCCTTTAATTGTTTGTTATTGTTATCACGATTATTCTTTAAAATAAAGTTATATAGTCATTAACGTTATTGAAACTGACAGCTGCTATACAGCTCGTTGAGAAATGAGGTTAAGTTGGTCGCTATAAGCTACTCCCTACGTCCAATGTGTCAGAGCCAACTTCGACCACGTTTTTATTTGAACGCTCGTTATATCTATTTCCCTGAAAAGATAGTTTACATTTTTTAGAGTAAATTGAAAAAAAAAATTATAAAATTCATAAATTTTTCTGCTTATGATTTTTTAATTTCTGAAATCATCCCTTAACTTCTAATCTCCCTAACTCTGTTAATTTTAATAGTAAAAGAAAAAGTCAATATCAAAATATATCTTTATGTAGAATTTTATGCTCTACAGCTTCTGTAAGAAACTTTTTTTCTAGCTCTTACCCCTTTTGAGTTATCTTGAAAACCCCTTTATTTTATCTTTTTCACCCTTGGCCAGGGGTTGAAAAAAAAAAAATTACTGTCTCTTATTTTATTATACATCCCAAACTAACTTATATCAAAAATTCAGGCAAGTTGACCAAAATTGCGATTTAAAGGCCCATTTAATTGGACTATAAATTAATTATAATTGCTGCTGAAAATTTAGAGAAATTTGAAATTGTGTTACAAAAATTTATAATTTGAAAGTATAAAAGAAAATAATTTTCTGAAAAATGAATGTCAAAGTTGTCTAAAGAAATATAAAAGTTAAAAAAATCTACCCGATGGTCTGTTTATTCCATGTTAAGTTCGATTGTAAACACTCAAAGTATACATATACTACAGGGTGTTTCCTTGAAAAGAGTGATAGAGGGCATGAAAATATGCAACTTTTATTAAGGAACTGATGGTCTAAACATTACGTTTTAAATTAAAAAAGAAATCTCATTGAGATTTGAACTTTAAAGGCGTCTCAGGTGCGGCAGTCAGCTGTACGATGTCAAAGCTGCCGCGCGCCGTAACGCGAAAGCGCTGATGGCAATTTTGACGGTTTAAATTTTGTGTTCGAAAATGCTGAAATTTATTCAAATCTCGTTTAAAAGTAACACAAAAATTAAACGAATATATTCTACAAACATTGTTCAAAGTTGTTTTCATGTGCTAATAAACATGCGACGGTCAAAATTCTGTCACGAAAAACACCACACCACACATTCACTGAAAACCTTTGCTGGAACCGAGATCTCTGTACAACGTGAGAATTTACATTACGCCAATAATTAGAATGTTCTGAAAATTTAATATGTCGTCTCTAGTATTCATCAACATTCATCCGTAAAAAACTCCTTGAGTGTAAAATCCGGATCTTGTGCTATTTGATGTTGAAACTACTAGCAAAATTCCACACGGGTCTGAAAATGATTGTTATTTAATGCCTGAACCCTTTGTACACTGAAAGAAATGGGCTTATTAAACTGTTTATCTAGAATAATGTGTATAGCGCATATTAAAACTTTTTTAACCAATATACAACTTTTATTAAAAAAAGCAATCCTCTCCATACTCATTATTCAATCAGTTTAACTGGAAGGTGCTTAATACACCTTATACATCTATGAAATAAAGGTTATAATGAATTACTTATACATTTATATTCCAGTTGTATAGTAGGGGAGATTTGTTGTATAAAGACCAGTATCCGAATTTGTATATAACAATTGTATTAACAGAATTATTCGTTCTTATACGGAATATGTTTCCGTTTTTAAAGTGTAAAACGCATCTTATAATGGTTAAGTGATCGTCACCTCTCGGTGCATAATCGGTTATGATCGTTGTTAAGTTATATTCATAGTCTTGTAATAATAATCATATGTCAGACCCGAGAGCGAAGTGCGCCGACTCAATAAGACACCTGGCTATTCCAGCCGCTGATTTAGGGTTCGCCGCACGAGCTCATCCCTTCTAACAATAAGATTTCAGTAGCTTGCTATGCATGAAGCAGAACGGTACTCAACTATCTTATACAGTCCACTTTTATTGTCCATAGATGTTCAATCATTGTCAAAATAAACACACAAAACCACAACGTCTTTATTATCTTTACTCAAGAAGAGAAAATACAACAGTCGTAAAATTTCCGACAGTCCGCTGTGCATCGACTTACACACGTCTAGTTTGATGAAAATGGACAGTATATGCACATGTTTTGTGGGATACATGATCATATCGCGTTGTGTGAAATGGAAAATTAATATGTAAGTATCTAACTGTTTTATGGCTTGTAATTGTTTTGTTTTTTCAAATGTAAATCTTGTCTAAATCTTAAAAATTATTATTTTGTAGGTCCTATTAGAAATCGCTGATGTTAAGTTTTACATAAGATGGAGGAACAAAAGGTTAACGGTGACAAATAAAAGCATGGGTATAAAGTCAATCAACCAGAGGAAATAAAATTATATGGAAAGAAGCTCAACCTTTCTGGGGATGCTTCATTCTTAAGGTGGAAGAGTTATAGTGCAAATTCTCATGTATTACAGGAAAGTATGGGTGCATCGTTGCTAAGAAAATAAACTGGACAGTTTTGGGAGCGATTTGTCATCATTTTTAGTGCTTAAAAGTATGTTTTATGTATGTTTACATTAGAACCTTAGCTTGTAATTACAGTTATCCAATAAAATTTCTGAAAACTTAATGTGTTTTTAACTCATACAGAGTATACAACAGTTTAATACATTTATTATTATAAAATTTATAACCAGTACTAGATGTTCTAATAACGATATGGAACACTTTGATAACAGTTATTGCTTTCATTTCGTAAATGGTATAAAAACGTTGTATACTAATTATACAATAATTTAATAAAGAATAGGGTTTACAGTCACTATACAACTGTGCTAGCAATATGCGTTTTATATCCAATATTCACCTGTTTAACTGTCACATATAGTATACAATGGTCTTATAATGGTATATAGAATTCTAATAAAGAATAAAACGTATTTCTTTCAGTGTACATGATAGGGATGTATAATTGTTCTCGTAGTACACGCCACACTGTACTGTTAATTTTATACGCTGGCTAGGTAATACTGCAACACACGACGCACGTGCACAAGATGCACAGGGTCGGCTTATATTTATGGAGAGAAATAGTGTCCATCTATTGAAGGCGCTGTTAGGTCTATTTAATATTAAAATATCAGTTCATACTATTCAGTGCGGCTTAATGTTGAAGAAATACAGTACAAAATTTTCTAAACTGTCATGCCTGCGCACGTGCCACAACTTTTTCAGACTTGTGAGAAGTTAGCACTTTTCTACGCTTGTTTTTTTGGATTTTGCTTTTTCTAAGTAGATATGTCAGCAAAGTATTTCATCTATACAATATCCTCGTAGTATAAAAGGAATTTGAATTCCAAGTAGGGAATGCGCCTTAGAAATCTAAAAATGTCAGACCAAGTAAAGGCAAATATGTGATATTGACAGAGAAAGTGAAGGAAATATTGGAATATTGGAATATTGGACATGTGTAAATTAAACGAAAAAGTTACATGTACCATGCCAAAGATTAAATATACAGGACGTTACAGAAATATTGACAAACAATAAAACGCAATTTTTATAGACATCTATCTGTTTGGAACTAAATACACATTTTCCATCCTAAAATACAAGTCCTCGGTTATATTCTTTTTTGAAATATTTTTTCACCAGTCGAGAAAATAAATTAAATAGACCCCTATTTATAAAACTGTTTTCTCGCGTTAAAAAAGAATTAAAAGAACAATTATATGTACCACTATATCACATACTTCACTTAAAATTAATTGATCAATCAACCTGTTTTCGTTTTCAAAACAACAACTGTAGTTTCCTTTTCAATATAGTTTTGACTAAATTTTTCACACGTGGCAAAATATCGATATACTTATAAAAATTGTATGTAAAATTACATATTTGATCATTGGTTATTTTGACGTCACGGTAAGTAATTTTACTAAGAATCAGGAAAAAAAATCTGTACAATTTCAAGTATGACAATTTGTTGCGGGTCGCCTAAATATGTGACGTCACACTAAAAGAGTCTATTTAACTCACAGAAACCGTATAATTGGAATAATTAATGAACTAGCCATAAAAAAGCTCTGCTCCATTTAAAATTTCTAAAGGGATGACCGGGGGTGGGGCAGGAAAGCGAAAAAGCCCCTGAATTAAATAATTATCTGTTCGCCTACGCCTCAGCATTTTTAGGCACAACGCACCTGTATTTATTCCGAACTCGAACCACCCCCCCGACCCATTTGTTGGTACTAATTAACCGTATTTACCCTTTTCAGATAGCAACTTCGTGCTGGGCAACGCTCAAGTACCCACCCTCTACCCCATTGTCTACTGCTCGGATGGATTCTGCGAGCTCACCGGCTTCACCAGGGCGCAGATTATGCAGAAGGGATGTGCCTGCAAATTCCTGTACGGACCGGAAACCAAAGAGGAGCACAAAGCGCAGATAGATAAAGCCCTGGAGTCGAAGAATGAGCTTAAATTGGAAGTTATTTTCTACAAAAAGAACGGTGAGCAGCTTTATCCCATTACTCTGGCAGAAATAATGTTTTTTAGGAATATTTTCTAAAATAATACCCCGAACTAAATTTTTAAAGGGTCTTATAGGCCAGAGCGGATCTGGCGGAAATATCCCACTTCTTGAATAGAGAGGGCAAGCTAATTTTTGCTGGAATACCTTCAATACAACTCACATAATAAAAGTGTAGATACCTAGATTTGGGTGAGGTCTGGAACATTTTCAAAAATGATTAAAATATTTAAAAAAAATACCTATTTTAACTGAGTTTTTACTTATATCTTGTAACCTTAACATTTTGGAAGAATATTGAAGAGGAAAAAAGTTTTAGAATTGAATTTTGCAGAATATACTGTATGTTAAAAATGTTTAAATTTATTACGGTTGTTGCAAAATAGGAATAACTAATGAAAAAAAGAGCAAAATAATCAAGTTTTTTGGATAATTTTATTAAAATATTTTAATTGCTTCGAGGGTATTGTAATTTTGGTAAAAAAAAAAATTAGGGTGTAATAAAACAACACACCAAATTTCATTAAAATTTTTAGTCTTCACAAAATAACTTTATGAACAAAATTAAAAAAAAAAATTCTTTTCAAAATGCTGCACAGCCTCAAATAAAGCATCTAGATACTTGAAAATTTGTTCACTTAGAAAAAACCGCTCAATCTTTCAAATGGTTTTTGAAAAATTGAAATCGGTTGATTAGGACGGCCGCAGTAAATTTTTAAACTTAACACTCTCTTTTTTTAATTTTAAATAATTAGATTACATTTCTCAATTTGCAATTTAGTTTTTTCAAAAATTATAATTTTAAAGTACTGAGTACTTTAAAATTATATATTTTTTTAAAAAAAGTTAAATTCCATAAGCGGTCAAAATTTATCGGCATTTACCGTTAATTTATAAATAATCTAGCAATAATCTTTAATCCAGTGGCTTCATTTTTCCGAGTTCTGGAAACAAATTTCATATCCCTAAGTTATTGGCCACACAGATAAATCAGCGGAAAAGCTGTCGCTCGCACGCGCGCGAAGTGACTCGAAACACGAAAAGTGGTGGAGGGGGCTTTCACTTGGAGACTGAATTCGGAGGCTCAAAATGCGAAGGTACGAGAAAAATTATATTATCTCGCCTTCTAATGGACCAATTGCGATCTTTTTTTTTAATCCGATGTCTCGCGAGCCAAGGAATTCGAATATCGTAATGCCAACTGTCTATTTTGTTATAAACAAAGTTTATTATTTATGCATTAAATATACTGTATATTTTACCCTATGCTATTGCATTTTTTCAGTGAAAAAATTTATTTACGTACACAACACTCTGAATATGAATGTATTTAGTTATAATTATTACAATTATTTAAATAATTTTTGTTTAAACAAATTAAAAAAAAATGTGGAAATTAATTTTTTTCTTAAATACACATAAAATGAAGAAAAAATAGTACTTTTAATTTTTTAAAGAACAAAATTGCAAATTGATAAATATAATGTAATTGTTTAAAAATAAAAAGTGTTTTTTAATTTTTCAAAAACCATTTGAAAGGTTGATCGGTCTTTTCTATGCGAAAAAATTTCATGTACCTAGACTAGATGCTTTATTTCAGGATGTGCAACATTTTTTAAAATTCGAAAATATTTTTAAAAAAATTATTTTGCAAAACTATCGAATCGATTTTAATTAAATTTGGTGTGTTGTTTTATTATACTCTAAAGTTTTTTTTACCAAAATTAGAATGCTCTCGGAGCAATTAAAATATTAAAAAAAAAATTACCCAAAAAACTTGATTATTTTGCCTTTTTTCATCAATTATAGCTATTTTGCAACATCGGTAATAAATTTAAACATTCTTAGTATATTGTTCAAAATTTAATTCTAAAACTTTTTTTCCTCTTCAATATTCTTCCAAAATGCATAGGTTACAAGACTTCCAAGATATAAGTAAAGAATAGGTATTTTTTTAAATCTTTTAATAAATTTTGTAATTTTGAAAATGTTACGGACCTTCCCTAGATCTAGGGATCTACATTTTTATTATGTGACTTGTACTGGAGGTAATCCAGAAAAAAATGGCTTGCCCCCTCTCACATCCACCTCAAAAAAGATCCGCCCTGGTCTATTAGTTAAACCACCTTTGATATAGTAACAACTTGGGACTATTTTATACAATATGTAACATAGGGAGTTTTCAGAAAATAGAAATGTTGAAGTTATTTCATATTCAGTTAATGTTAATACTGTCAAACAAATAAAATATAAATTAAATAAATAGTAATAAATAAATTTTACACTAAACTAACTAACTTTACACTAAATTATTTTTTTTTGTTATATAATATTACGTGAAAATCTCAAAGCTAATTTTTCCCCAAATACCAAACATAAGTGTAATTTATATTAAGAGGGAGTTTATTTCCCTGACACCACAAATGTAGCAAATTCAAATGTTTCTGGGGTATGTGACAGTCATCAATATTGCTAATTTATATATTTTTTTGCTACAGCATCAATAACTGTATTAAATAATAGTGGCTCCTATACTGAACCTTGAGATACACCAGAGAAAACCTCTAATTTTTTTTACAAAAGCCCCTTGTAAGATGCTTGTTACAAGCGACTAGAAAGATTTGTATTAAAAAGATAGTACGTTGATTGATGTCTTAGGGTTATTTAATTTACGAAACGAAATATGGATCGTTCAAGGCAATAAAGCAAATATTATTTTTTTATGGCGATGTAGAATATCGTGAATGTAAAATTAAAAAATTACAAATGATGTAATGGGACGGCAGTTACTAATTATATTTACATATCTACTCTTAAAAATTGGATAAATACGTGATACTTTCCAAATATTTGGTGTACTGTTTGTAGGCAGAATTATGTTAAAAATAATTCTCGATGATTTGGCTAATATGGGAACACAGTTGCGAATTAAAAATGTAAGTCCACAATAATTATTATTTTTTAAGAGTTCAGAGTTAAATGTTATTTGAGATGGTAAAAATTTGCTTTTGCGTTAGTGCGACCAAAATTTTTTAAGAGCATTTTGAATATTTCCTTCCAGAACATTAGAAACTTAGGTATAAGAGACGATTACATTATCTACTTTTTAATTTTACTTTGATTAAAAGATTCATATACCTTCGTATATTTTCTTTTTTCTCTTGCATTCTTTATAGCCGTCAGAGTAGTTTTCCCGCAATATCAGCGATTGGAAGTTTTGTCTTTTGCATCGAAGAAAATTATTTCACTTTATTTGGTAAGAGTTTTTAGAAAAAATATTTTGAATTTGTATGAATTAGCATCCAGTAAAAAAAAAATTTCTTCTCTATTGAACCATGGTGGATAATTGTTCATATTCATATGTGGAAAAGTAACTGGTACACATTGGTCAATGCCTTATACAGGGGGTTTCTAACCTAGGGTTCCAAACTTCTGCTGCGTTTATAGCTCATTAAAATAAGCCAAAAAGTTCCTATTAACATGTGCCCTAAAACGCACCCTTAGGAAGTTATATGCCCTTAAAAGGGCTCAAACAAAACTGATTTTTTTTCTGTTATTGACAAAACGGTCGCAAATAAATAGAAAAAAATTTATGGGTCTAACATAACTTTTTATGTTAAATAACATATGCTACTCCGTTTTTCGACATGCAAATCATATGCTTCTCATTTAGGTTGGTGAAGGAGGTTTTCGGCCCGTAATTTTTTTTATTTCAATTTTTTTACAATTTTCTCTACAGATTTATAAAATCTTAACAATTTTACGTAAAAAATATTATCTTTGTCCAAATCGATATTTCCAATGGTTTTCGAGTAAATTGAGTTTGAAAATTACTCTGCTCTTTAAGTTATTAGGCCAAAAATTACAAAAATCTGTTTGCCATGGCAAATAAAAGACTGACGTTGCCACAACGCTTAACAATTTAAGTTATTGATAAACTGTCAATTGAGCTTTGCAGTGTTTAATTAGTAAAAGTGGTGAGTGGAAAATTTAAGTATACAACATTATTGCAACCCATAAAATGGAGTCATATTCAAACACGGAAATGGCAGATACTTACAGACATGATTGGCATCTCTGTAGTCTCTGTATATAGTTATAATATCTGTACATATTTTTATAGACTGTAAGGATATCCAGCGCCACCAAAGTATTTTATTTTCAGTTCATTACGAATAGCATCACATTTGTGTAAGCCAAGTGCCAAAAAGTTGTATTTGGCTTATTACGTGTGAAATCTGTTTACCGTAGGACCAAAAATGTAAGTAATGTAATAATGCTTTACTTAAGACTTTACCGGAGAGATAAAGATTTTCGTACGAATTCATATTGTGTAAATGCTAGCTTATTAAAAAATAATGAAAACAGATTTTCTATTCTTAACTGTAATATTTGTACTAATAATCCTGACTACATTTTATAATTCATGGAAAGGTAAATGTTTTAGATGTTTGTACAAAAATAATGTAGGGGAATTTTATATAAATAGAAGAATTGTAGATGAACAACGGTTTCAGACATTTTGCATACAGATCGATAAAGGAAAACCAAGAAGGTGATTGCCATTCCAATTTGTGATCATTTCCCTCAGTTTATAATAGACGTACCCATGTTTTGTTCATCCATTCAAAAATTAAGAATGCTTCTTACCAGATTTGTTATAACTACGAAAGTTGTGACTATTATTCCTATTCCATTACTAGAAAACGTCGTTTTGAAAAAAATACTGTTTGTATCATTGTAGTACAAAATATATCCAGAACAATATCAGACAATTTTCAGTACAGTTTCTGGACTACAATTTTATAACACACGTTTATATTAGCATTTTGTGTTTAAAAACATCTCGATTCAAAGAATATTTATTGGATCACAAAGCAAAAACAACTGGTGGCAATACCCATGAAATCCTAATGAAATAGATAAGTAAACAGTAGCAGATATTCACGTATAATAATAACCGTAAACTTGTTTGAGAAT